TTACGCAGAGAGTGGTGGGTGCCTGGAACACGTTGCCAGCGGAGGTGGTAGAGGCGGGCACGATAGCATCATTTAAGATGTATCTCGACAGATACATGAATGGGCAGGGAGCAGAGGGATTCAGATCCATGGAAAGTAGGTGACAGGTTTAGATAGAGGATCTGGATCGGCGCAGGCTTGGAGGGCCGAAGGGCCTGTTTCTGTGCCATAATTTTCTTTGTTCTTTGACCCTACCATTAACTGTATAAGTCCTGCTCTTGTTCATTTTATCAAAATGCAATACCTCCCACTCATCCAAATTAAACTTCATCTGCCACTCCTCAGCCCATTGACTTAATCGATCCGGATCCCTTTGTAATCCTAGATAACCTTCTTCTCTGTCCAGTATACCACCAATTTTGGTATCACCCACAAATTTACTAAACATGCTTCCTAAATTCTCATCCAAATCATTTATATAAATGACAAACGACCGTGGACCCAGCAGTGATCTCTGTTGGAACACAGGCCTTCAGTCCGAAAAACAACCCTTTACCACCACTCTCTGTCCTCTACCATCAAGTCATGTCTATATCCAATTGGTGGGCTCTCCCTGGAAGCCATGTGATCTAACTTTACTCAGTAACCAAAAAGATTGATGATGGCAGAGTGGTGGATATTGTTTACCTGACTTTAGAAAAACCTTTGACAAGGTTCGACATGGTACATTAATTAGTAAACTTAGATCACATGAGGATCACAGGAGGGGATGCTCCCTGAAGATCACACAATGTTCAGCACTATTCACAACTCCTCAAATACTAAGGCAGTCCATGTCCAAATGCAGCAATACATGAACAATATCCAGGCTTGGGCTGTAAAAGGACAAATAACATCTGCACCACACCAACGTCAGGCCATGACCATCTCCAATAAGAGACAATCCGTCCTCTCTCAACATTCAATAGCATTACCATCACTGAATCCTACACTAACATCCTGGGAGTTACTTCACCAGAAATTCAACTGGTGCAGCCATATAAATACATTAAGTACAAGAACAGGTCACAGGCTAGGAATTCTGCAGCGAGTTACTAACACCCTGACTCCCCAAAGCCTCGCCATATTTGTGGAGCACATGTCAGGAATATGATGAAATACTCCTTATTTGCCTGGATGAGAACAGTTCCAACAACACTCAAGAAGCTTGACACCATCCAGGATAAAACAGCCTGCTGGACTTCATCACATCCACAAACATCCGATCTTTTCATCACCGACGTTCAGTAGTAGCAGTGTGTACCATCTACAACCTGCACTGCAGATATTCAGCAAAGCTCCTTTGACAGCATCTTTTAAACCCATGACCACTTCCATTTGGAAGGACAAGGGCAGCAGATACATGGGAAAACCACAATCTGCAAGTTTCCCTCCAAAACATTCACCATCCTGACTTGGAAATATATTGTCGTTCCTTCAGTGTCACTGCGTCAACATCCAGAAATTCCTTGCCTAACTTCATTTTGGGTCTACCTACAACATGCGGACCACAGTGGTTTAAGAAGGCAGCTCACCACCACCTTCTCAAGGGCAATTAGGGATGGGTAGTAAAATCTAGTCCAGCCAGCAATGCCGACATCTCATGAGCAGGTGAAAAAAACATCAGAGGGTTTCAAATTTGGAATTCTGTACTGAGGAGGGTAAAGGAAGGCATTTATTGAATAGTTTAAATTTATGATTGGCAGATTTGTAAAGAGCAACAACATAAAAGGAAATGGGATTACTGGGGTAAAAGGTACTGAAGTGGATAATCAGTCAGGGTTGTACTGAAAGGCGGAGCAGCCTTCATGGGCTGAATAGCCTAAACATCTATCTTCCTATGTTTCTATGTAGCACTGTGTGGGAGCATGAGATTGGGCAAAAGCAATTAGCTGGACATGCATTAAGGGAGTCTTTTTTGGGGAACAATTTTTATTGTGGGGTCCTTTACATCAAAATTTCACCAATGAAATGTTGTGTTGGTGTTCAGTAGAAGAATATTAAAAAAAAGGAAAAAAGTGTCAAGGAAAAGTGATCTGGGGACACTTTAAAGTGATCTAGAGTCTGATAAGCCATTCACATACGGTGAATCCATAGATATGGTGCCTCAGTTGTCTTTCCTCCTCCAACCAATGCGCCAATGAAAGACCTGGAAGGGCAGAATCCCCTGGAAAGTGATATTGTTCTACAACCATGAATTTGAAAACTAGTTAAATACAACAAAGTTTCTATGTGTGTTCCAGACAACGGAACCAATACTTTAAAATAGTGTTGAGGTTGGTTGCCTCGCCGAGCTGGTTTGTTGTTCCGCAGACATTTCGTTACCGTGCTTGGTAACATCCTCAGTGCAGCGTCTGATGAAGCGTCGGTGTGTTTTCCCGCCTGGTTTTTAAACTCTGGGGTCCATTGCGATGGATTGCCTCACTTCCGGGTTTCCTCCATAGTGGAATGTATATGAGATCGAGTTCAATGTGTTTATTAATAGCATGCTTCGTGGAGTGCCATGCTTCCAGGAATTCTCATGCTTGTCTCTGCCTAGCATGTCCCAGGATCTTGGTGTTGTCCCAGTCGAAGTCATGGTTCTCCTTGTCCATGTGGATTGAGATGAGTGAGTATTGGTCGTGTCTTTTTGTAGCCAGTTGGTGTTCATGTACTCTTGTTGTTAGTTTCCTTCCTGTTTGTCCGATGTAGTGTTTCTCGCAGTCTCTGCAGGGGATCTTGCAGATGACATTGGTCCTGTCCATGGCGGGGAGTGGGTCTTTAGTTCGGGTGAGCACTTGTCGTAGGGTTGATGTGGGCTTGTGTGCCATTCTGATGCTCAGCGGTCGTAGGAGTCTCGTGGTGAGTTCTGACGTGTTCCTGATTTAAGGTAGTGTGATGAGTGTATCGGGGCGTGTAGAATCTTTCTGATGCTGTTCCTGTAGGCATCTCCTGACCCAGTTCTTTGGATATCCATTATCCTTGAACACTTGGAAGAGGTATTCCTCCTCCTCTTGGCGTAGTTCCATGTTGCTGCAGTGTGTTGTTGTTTGTTCTCCTCCTCCTCTCTGGTGAATTTTATTCCATTGAGGGTGTTGTTTATGAGTTTGTGTGTCTCTTCTAATTTGATCCATTTAATGATGACAAAGGTATCGTCTACGTGGCGTATTCATAGTTTAGGTTGGATTTGCGAAAGGGCGGTCCTTTCCAGTCTTCGCATCACTGCTTCTGCCATGAGTCCGGAGATAGGCGATCCCATGGGTGTCCCATTGATTTGCTCGTATGTTTGGCCATTGAAGGTGAAGTGGGTGGTCAGGCATAGGTCCAGTAATTTAAGCATGTTGTCCTTGGAGATGGTTTCACTGGGGTCGTGTTCTTGTTCAAGTAGTGTTGTCATTGTTTCCCTTCCAGTGGTATGTCTATTGATGTGAATAGGGCGGTGACATCAAACGATATCATGGTCTCTTTGTCCTCTATCTTTATGTCTTTGAAGGAGTTGAGGAATTCTTGGGCTGAGTGGATGGAGTGGGGTGATTTGTTTACGAGGTGCTTGAGTCTTCTTTGTAGTTCTCTGGCTAATCTGTCCGATGGAGTGCCTGGTGGGGAGACTGTGGGTCTGAGGGGGACTTCTGGCTTGTGCACTTTAGGGAGGCCGTAGGATCGGGGTGTGTTGGTTCCTTTGGGTTTCATTCTTAGGAAGTCTGTTTTGTTGATCTGTCCTGTTTGTTTAAGTCTTTGTAGCGTGTATAGAGAGGAGGAGAAAAACAAACAACTCCCGTTCCTGGACGTCATGGTAGAGCACAAGACAAATGGGGAACTGCAAACGAAAGTACACTGAAAAGCCACACACACAGACCATGTATTGAACTTCAATGGTAACCATCCCCACACATACAAACGAAGCTGCGTGCGAACACTATTTAAAAGGGCAACAACACACTGCAGCAACATGGAACTACGCCAAGAGGAGGAGGAATACCTCTTCCAAGTGTTCAAGGATAATGGATATCCAAAGAACTGGGTCAGGAGATGCCTACAGGAACAGCATCAGAAAGATTCTACACGCCCTGACACACTCATCACATTACCCTACATCAGGAACACGTCAGAACTCACCACGAGACTCCTACGACCGCTGAGCATCAGAGTGGCACACAAGCCCACATCAACCCTACGACAAGTGCTCACCCGAACTAAAGACCCACTCCCCGCCATGGACAGGACCAATGTCATCTACAAGATCCCCTGCAGAGACTGCGAGAAACACTACATCGGACAAACAGGAAGGAAACTAACAACAAGAGTACATGAACACCAACTGGCTACAAAAAGACACGACCAATACTCACTCATCTCAATCCACATGGACAAGGAGAACCACGACTTCGACTGGGACAACACCAAGATCCTGGGACAGGCTAGGCAGAGACAAGCACGAGAATTCGTGGAAGCATGGCATTCCACGAAGCATGTTATTAATAAACACATTGAACTCGACCCCATATACATTCCACTATGGAGGAAACCCGGAAGTGAGGCAATCCATCGCAACAGACCCCAGAGTTTTAAAAACAGGCGGGAAAACACACCGACGCTTCATCAGACGCTGCACTGAGGATGTTACCAAGCACGGTAACAAAACGTCTGCGGAACAACAAACCAGCTCGGCGAGCCAAACAACTTCAATGCCCACAACCCGAGCTACAGATCTACTCCAAAGCCTTAGACTTTAAAATAGTGTTAATGTGTTCCAGAACATTCCTGGTTGTTATATGGCTTTAGTTGCACTAATGTCAGGAAATGAAATGGGGGAGGAACAAACAAACTAAAGTCTCTGGGAAATAAAAATGAGCAAAGACCTGGACGCAGATAAATTCATGGTCTGGATGGACCTCATCTCGGGTCTTAAGAGAAAAAGTTAGTGAGATAGTTGATGCATTGTTAAAAATATTCATTGCTATGTTTCCATGACTGAACACTTCAATTCCTGCTTGTGTTCTCACTTTGCTTTCACCAGCACATTTCAGGAAGTCCAGAATACCCATAGCCCTGATGTCAAAGTCAGAAGTCTCTGTTAAAGCCACATTAATTAACACCTGGAGAAGTGAGATGCAGAAGATGATGGATTTGATCCGGCTTCCAAACTGCTTTAGATTTCACAGATTTTAATCACTATCTGCTCTCAAATCATGTATTCCTTCATGTTAAAATTCCTTTCCTAAATGCAGTTCACAAGTGCATAGACACTCACGATTAAAAAAAAAACAACAGCAGATACACTAGCTTAATTTAGGAAACACTCCAAGGTGGTCCTACCTGTTCAAACATCATATACCTAATATGTCTGAGATGTAGTTGCAGCCTCGCCTAAATCATGAAATTTACTTGCAAATATCTTCGTGCAATTAGCATCACACTTTAAAAAATTAGATGCCCCATAAAACAGATACTCAGAAATCCACTCTTTACGACCTGAAATCTTGGCAGGCAATGCTAATTTTGCAAAAATACTTACTGGATCAGAATTGTAAAGTGGCTCACAGACTTTCTCCAATGCTTGCAGAAACTTCACATTGTCCTTTGCCCCATTAGCTGCATCAGTGATTTCAGAATCCAGCTTTCGCCACATCTGTAAAATGAACAAATAAATACTCACCAGCTTTTCAAATCAAATAGTCTCTTGTTGAATATAATGCTGCAATTGCTAAACAATTTGTACAGTTCTGAAGAAGGGTCACCGGACCTATAAGACCAGGCCCATCAAGCCTGATCTGTATTCAATAGGATCACGGCTGATCAGACATTCCTCACATCCACATTTCTACCCTATCCCCATAACCCTTGATTCCCCTAATGATCAAGAATCTATCTGCCTCAGCGTTAAATATATATGAGGATTGTGCCCTCTCAGCTCTCTGTGGTAAGGAGTTCCAAAAACTCTCAACCCTCTGAGAGAAGAAATTCCTCATCTGAGTATAAAATTGATACACCTTTATTCTGAGACTATGCCTTCTCTCATAAGACTCTCCGATGACAGGAAACATTCCGTTGAACCCCTTAATAATCTTATGTTTCAATGAGATCACGTCTCATTCTTCTACACTCTAGTTAATAGAGTCCCAACCTGACCCGAAATGCTCACTCAGTTTTCTCTCCACAAATGCTGCCAGAGACCTGCTGAGATTCTCCAGCAATTTCTGCTTTAGTTGTGGCAGGGAGGCTGACTTGGTTTGGCTTACTATTCGTGTACTAATACAATCCTGCCTGCAAATAACTACACAAACAATAATTTAAGTTATTCAGGAAATAGCTGTTTGGTAGAACAGAACATGAGTAGTGATGATAAAAGTTACATTTAGTTGAAGCTTTGCATCGTGTACTCATCAGGTCAACTTGCAATTCAGGGGGAAAACCAATATCTATATGACGTAAAATGAGAGTGTCGTTGGCTTAGCAAATAAATGTTGATTGTAGAGGTATTGCCATGGAAATTGCGTCTATTACTGCTGATTGACAGTAAATAGCCAGGCTTTGTTTAAGTTTTTAAAATAGGCAGGTAGACTCTGATTTGTTAGGCAATGTAATCAGAGCTGACTTGCAAACTAATTAGCATTTGTTTCTCCTGAAGGAAGAATTATCATGATGATTTGAAATTTTGCGTGCTTGCGTTTATCCTGGCGAGTGCAAGATGAAAAACTTCTCTCGTTTCAGCAAAATGACACATAACGTAGAGAATTTGTGAAGGAATTCAATTAAAGATGTACAGCATTAATCAAGGTTCTAAAAGTATAAGAGACATATCCCTATAAAATCTCGAAAAAGTTCATAAAGGGTTACATTTTTAAGAAGAGAACAAAACAGTTTGCAAATGTATAGCTATTTATCCTGCACAAATTAATCTCTTTTTATAGCAATGAGGAATTACTGGTAAAGAATGCATACACCCAAGATTCTTGTGAATATCCTGATGAGTGAAAATGAAAAACCTTGTCAAAATGTATTTTAGTTCAGCATTGCAGGCAGTCCCTGTGTTGCCAACAGGTTCCATTCTGCAGTCTGTTCGTAAGTTGATTTATACGTAAGTATACAATGCAGGAAAATATAAAGCAGCTATTCATAAGGAGATTAGAGACAAAAAACGCTGTAGATGCTGGAATCCAAGGTAGACAAAAGGAGGCTGGGAGAACACAGCAAGCAAAGCAACATCTGGAGGAACAGAGAAGTAAATGTTTTGGGTATGACTCTTCTTCAGGACTGAGTGTGGGGATGGGGAGAGCTACAAATAAAGAAGGGGAAAGAGAGGGGTTTGTTGAATGGTGGTCATATGTGGACACTGATAATAGGTATGACCTGGTCGGTCAATGGCAAGAAGGGTCAGTAGGTGGAATGGAAGGGAGGAAGTGGGGCTGGAAAAGGAGCCAGGGGAAGGATGGGAAGGTTATTTGAAATTAGAGAACTCAATGTTGAGTCCTCCGGGCTGTAGGGTGCCCAGGTGGAAGATAAGGTGTTGTTCCTCAAATTTGCATTCTGAGTCGTTGCAACACTGGAAGAGGCCGAGGATGGACATGTTGGAGGGGAAGTTGGTGGGGGGTGGGGTTGAAATGGGTGGTGACCGGGAGGTTATGCTCGGCGAAACGGTCTCCTAGTCTACATTTGGTCTCACCAGTGTAGAGAAGACCACATCGGGAGCACCGGATGCAACAGACTAGGTTGGAGGAGAGGCAGGTGAAGCTCTCTCTCACCTGGAAGGACTGTTTAAGGCCCTGGATGGAGGTGAGGCAAGTGGTGTGTGGGCAGGTGTTGCACCTTTTAAATTTCATAAGGAAATGTTTATATGTCAGGTCTTTAAAATTATACTCCTGTATAAGATCACGTTTGTAAGTACAAGCGTCTGTAGGTCAGATGTTTGTAAATCAGGGACGTCTTATACTCAAATAATACTTGTTCAATGTAAATTTGATCGTATAATGAAGATATTCATCACAGAATCCTTTTTCATTAATCAAATGTATATTTTACACTTTCACAGGATGTGAGCATCCCCACTGGTCTGGCCAGCATTTGTGATCCATCTGTAATTCCTCTTGTGAAGTTCTTGGTGAACTGCATTCTTCCATTGAGGTGGTCCAGGATGAGCTGGAATGACCCTTACAGCCTGCTACTCATTGATCCCTCCACTGAGGGATCTCAACTATATTAAACTAACACAGTCTAGCCCAAGTAGCATCCTTGTTAAAAATGCAGCCAGGTCCAGTAGCAACTGTGAAGAGAAAGCAGAGTAAACATTTTGAGTCCAGTGACCCTTTTTCAGATCCTGGTAAAACTCCTCTGCACCCTCTCCAGTGTAGTCATATCCACCTATAATATGGATTCCAGAACTGTACACAACACTCTAGTTGTGACATAACCAACACTTTATGCAGTTCCAGCATAACTTCCTTGATCTAAAACTGCCTGTTAATAAAAAGGAAGTATCCCATAAGCCTTCCTAACCACTTCTAACCTATGCCGCTAACTTAAGGTCCCTCTGATCCTTGGAGCTTCTGAGGGTCTTTTGTTTATTCACTCATGGGATGTGGCATAACTGGTTGGGCCAGCATTTATTGCCCGTCTCTCATTACTCTTTAGAAGGTGGTAGTGAACTGCCTTCTCGAACGCTGCAGTCCATGTGCTGTTAGGAAGGGAATTCCAGGATTTTGACCCAGTGACAGTGAAGGAATATTGATATGTTTTCAAGTCAGAGATAAGTCAGAAATAATATGTAGGGAGTTTGGAGATGAGTTACTCACTGCCTTTGACCTGACTTGTAGCCACTGTATTTATATAGCAAGTACGATTCAGTTTGTAGAAGCACAGAATCCCTACAATGCGGAGAGGCCATTCAGCCCAGTGAATCACACCAACCCTCAAAGAGCATTCCATGTAGTCCCAGCCACCTACTCTACCCTCATAACCTCACATCTACCATGGCTAATCCACCTAGCCTACGCATCCCTGGACACCACGGATAATTTAGCATGGCCAATCCACCTAATCTGCACATCGTTAGAAACCGAATAATCCGACAAAAACCCATGCAGACATGGGAGAACGAAACTCCTCAACAGACAGTCACCCCAAGCTAGACTCGAATCCTGGTCCTGGCACTGTGACGCAGGAGTGCTAACCACTGAGCCACTGTGCCACCACCCCATTCTGGTAAATGATACCCCCCGGGATGTTGATGGTTGGGATTCAGTCTTGGTGATGCCATTGAATATCAAGAGTTAGATCGTCAATGGAGATGGACATTGATTGGCATTTATGTGGCACAAAACTACTTTTCAACCAATGCCTCAATATTGTCCAGGTCCAAAAATAGAAATTGCTGGAAAAGCCCAGCAGGTCTGGCAATCAAAAGGGTCTAAGGAAGGGTTACTCAACTTGAAATTTTAGCTCTGATTTCTACAGGTCTGGCAGCATCTGTGGACAGAAATCAGATTTAACATCTTGGGTTGAATGACCCTTCCTTAGACCCTTTTGAGTGTCAGACCTGCTGAGCTTTTCCAGCAATTTATATTTTTGGACCTGATTTACAGCATCACAGTTCTTTTGGGGTTTAATATTGTTCAGGTCTTGTTTTGCATTTGAACATTGAATACTTCAATGTCTGAGGAGTTGCAAATGGTGCTGAATAAGTTTTCCCAATTCTGTCCTTTTGATAAATGGAAGGTCATTGATGAAGCAGCTGAAGATGATTGGGCCTAGGACACTACCTACCTGAGGGACTCCTACAGAAATGTGCTAGACCCAAGATGACTGGCCTCCAATAATCACAACCATCTCCCTATATGCCAAATATAAAACTTTAGTTAGGCCACATTTGATTTGATTTGATTTGATTTATTGTCACGTGTACCTAAATATAGTGAAAAGCTCTGTTTATGATCAGTACAGACAGATCACAGTAAGCAAGGGCTTGCAGATCATAGTGTGACAAAAAAAAATTAGACAGAGACATACAGGTTACATCATACAGGACGTGCACTACGCAAGATCAACATAAGGAAGATCAGCATTATTTGAACTTAGAGAGTCTAATAACACCTGTGGAGTTCTGGCTGCCACACTGTAAGAAGGATGTGGAGGCTTTGGACAGGATGCAAAAGGGTTTACAAGGATGTTGCTTGAATTGGAATGCATGGTAAAATAAGGCAAAGTCAGCCTGGTTTCATCAATGGGACATCTTGCCTGACAAATCTGTTAGAATTCTTTGAGCAGGTAATGAGCAGGTTACACCAAGGAGAGCCAATGAATGTTATCTACGTGGACTTCCAGAAGGCCTTTGATAAGGTGCCACATAGGAGGCTGCTGAGCAAGATAAGGGTCCATGGTGTTAGAGGCAAGGTACTAGCATGCATAGTAGATTGGCTGTCTGGCAGAAAGCAGAGAGTGTGGATAAAAGAAGTCTTTTGCTGGGCCAAATTCCTGGAATTCCCTCGCTAACGGCATGAAGGTCAATCCACAGCATGTGGACTGTAGCGGTTCAAGAAAACAGATTATCACCATCTTCTCAAGGGCAATTAGGAACAGGCAACAAATGCTGGTCAGCCAACAGCGCTCATATCCATGAATAAAATTTTATTATAT